GGGTCTTCCCCCGGCTGCTGATGCCCACTTCCGGTTCTCCGTTGCAGGAAAATCCCCCGCAGCACCTTGGACTCGTTCATGCAGCCGTCCAGAGCACCCTGTGGCTCCTGGTGGGCCTCTCGGTCCACGGTGTGGCTGTGATGCTCTATCTCCTGGACCGTTTCAGGTAACTGCGGCCACCCCTTGGTCTTCCTGGTCTTCTCCACCACTTCCTCCTCCTTCCTCCTCCCTCTACCCCTTGTGGTCTTCCTGGTCTCCTCCTCCTCCCTCCTCCTTTCTCCTTCCTTCTCCTCCTCCCGCTCCTTCCTCCTCCCTCCTCCTCTTTCTTCCTCCTCCTCCTCCTCCCTCTACCCCTCCTTCTACCCCTTGGTCTTCCTGGTCTCCTCCTCCTCCTCCTCCTCCTCCTCCCTCCTCCTCCCTCTACTCCTCCCCTCTACTCCCCCTCCCCTCCTCCTCCTCCTCCTCCTCCCTTCTCCTCCTTTCTTCCTCCTCCCCCTCCCCCTCCTCCTCCTCATCCCTCTAACCCTTTCCTCTACCCTTTGGTCTTCCTGGTCTCCTCCTCCTCCTCCTTCCTTCCTTCTCCACCTTCTCTTTCCTCTGCCCCTTGGCCTTCCTGGCCTCCTCCTCCCCCCTCTACGCCTCTTTCCTCTACCCCTTGGTCTTCCTGGTCTGCTCCTCCTCCTCCCAGAGGAGCAAGGAAAAGTTATCCAGCTCTGCTTCCTCCCACCCATGAATGGGGGCAGGGACAAGGAACTGGACGGGCTGTTCCTCAAGACGTCACTAAATTACGTACCCATCAATGATACAAAGGGACCTCTGTCCACTGACTTTGCATCACTTATTCCATCTGCGAATGACATGAGGGAAACCAAGGAGTCCTCGAAGTTCCGCCCTCTGCCCACCCTGGACTTCTGGAGTTCCTCGCACCCGTGAGGTCCAGAAGCTTCTTTCCACGGGGCATCTTCTAAGACCTGCTCCTCAACGGACAGCTGACCGCTGGCCCCACTTGTTCTCTTGCAGCCCCTTCGGCCGCTTCAAAGTCAACAGCGAGGAGAGGAAGAGGATGCCCTCACCCTGTCGTCAGCCATGTGGTTCTCCTGGGGAGTCTTGCTCAACTCTGGCATCGGAGAAGGTGAGTCTCTCCAGTGGGAACGATCTGGATGGGTCCGTCCGTAAGAGGCTGCAAAGCAAAGGCTGGTGCCACCAACCCCATCTCATCTTCTCCGATATTTCTCCCATGAAAATAGGGAGGTCCCACCATCCCCTTTGACCTTGATAAAAATAGGGAGGTCCTACCATCCCCTTTGACATGGATGAAAATATGGAGGTCCTTCCATCTTCTCTGACCTCCGTCACTTCTCCCACGAGAATAGGGATGTCCAACTCAGCTTCTTCCCCTCTGGGTTCTTCCCCAGTTAGATGGTCTTCTCAAGGGGTGGCACTAGAGAGCTTGGGTGAGGTCTATCTCCCCAGGGTTTCGGTCCTTCAGACACTTGAGGACCATCCCGAGCTGCCCTATCTCTTCCAGGCGCTCCCCGGAGCTTCTCCGCACGGATCCTGGGGATGGTGTGGGCTGGATTCGCCATGATCATCGTGGCCTCTTACACTGCCAACCTGGCGGCCTTCCTGGTGTTGGACAGACCCGAGGAACGGATCACGGGCATCAATGATCCCAGGGTAAGCATGGAAGGAGAATACCAAGCCTCTGACATGTCTCCTATGAGAATATGGACGTCCTACCATCTTCTTTAACATTTATCCCATGAGAATAGGGACGCCCTACCATCCCCTCTAGCATTTCTCCCATGAAATTATGGACGTCCTACCACCCCTTCTGATGTTTCTCCCACCAAAATACGGACGTCCTACCTTCCCCTCTCCCAGCTGCGCAACCCGTCCGACAAATTCATCTATGCCACGGTCAAGCAGAGCTCGGTGGACATCTACTTCCGCCGGCAGGTGGAGCTCAGCACCATGTACCGCCACATGGAGAAGCATAACTATGAAAGCGCCGCCGAAGCCATCCAGGCCGTCCGGGACAAGTGAGTCGGACTCCTTTGACTTTTCCGGGCGGGTGGGCTGGGAGGACATGGGGGACCAATGGGGAAAGAGGCGTTGGATTATGGGATTCCGTTTTTATATTTATTTTTCAGCCAGGTAATTTCCACGTATTTTGACAAATTAACAACCCACTGATTTGAAGCCAATGCAAAGGCGAAGAATTCTTGTGGGAATTTGGCTGGCATTTCTAATAAATTGTTTGGCAGCGATTTCTAATAAATTTTGCTGGGATTTCTAAGAAATTTTGTTGGGATTTCTAAGAAATCATCTGGGATTTATAATAAATTTTGCTGGGATTTCTAAGAAATTCTGCTGGGATTTATAATAAATTTTGCTGGGATTTCTAAGAAATTCTGCTGGGATTTCCAAGAAATGTGGCTGGGATTTCTAAGAAATTGTTTGACTGGGATACCTCAGAAATGTTTGCTGGGTTTCTAAGAAATTTTCCTGGGATTTCTAAACAAAATGTTTTGCGGGGATTTCTAATAAATTGTTTTGCAGAAATATATGAGACATTTTGCTGGGATTTCTAAGAAAATGTTTGGCTGGGATTTCAAGAAATTTTGCTGGGATTTCTAATAAATTGTTTGGCAGGAATTTCTAAGGAGTGGTTTGGTAGGATTTTTAAGAAATGGTTTGGCAGGGATTCCTAAGGAAAGGTTTGGCGGGATTTGTAAGAAATGGTTTGCAGGAATTTCCCAGGAATGGTTTTGTGTGAATTTCTTAGAAATGGTTTGGCGGGTATTTCTCAGGAAAGGTTTGGCAGGAATTTCTCTGGAACGAATTTGCTGGGATATCTGATCCTTTCCTTTCGGGACCGCTTCATCCTGCGAAAATCCTCCATCGGAAGACGGGGAGGGAAGGCTTCTGGAATTTGCCGGGAGCGCTGAAGTCGACCCCCTTTTCCTGGTTACTGTTCCCACTTGTGTCTCCACCCAGCAAGCTCCATGCCTTCATCTGGGACTCGGCTGTCCTGGAGTTCGAAGCCTCCCAGAAGTGCGACCTGGTGACCACTGGAGAACTCTTCTTCCGGTCTGGATTCGGAATCGGAATGAGGAAGGACAGTCCCTGGAAGCAGAATGTCTCGCTGGCCATCCTCAAGTCCGTACCCCCTCCCCCACCCACGGGAATGATCCGGGGAAGGGGGTGGGATTGGAGAACGCAGGACCCTCCGAGCATCCTGGATCAATCCCGGAATTTCCCTTTCCCACTCTGGAGAAGAAACACGAGAGGACCTCTTTTCATGGGAGAAAGGTCCAGGTATCCCCTCTGGGGGAAATCGGGAAAATAGGATATCCGGGGTTCGAACCGGAAAGCTGCCAGCCCCTCCAAAGTTCCTCCCCCCAAATTGGGGTGTTCCAGGATCAAACCAGAACCCCGCTAGCCCTTCCGACGTTCCTCACCCCCAAAACATCGGGATGTTCCGGGATTGATCCCAGAAAGAGGGAGTCCAGTTGGGCCTGACCTCCTCTGGGTTTGTCAGAGATGGCCGAGGAGCCTTTTTGGTCCAAGTTGGTCTCCTGGAGGACAGGAAGTGGTCCAGGGAACAGGAAGTGGCCTTTCCCGGGACTCCCTTGGGTCACCGTAAGAGATTTGAGGGTTGCGGGGCATGGCTTCAGCTGGCCTCCTGCCCCATCCCCCCAATCCATATTTTATTCAAGATGGCGGGACTCTCCGCTTCAGCTCTCTCCTCCCGTCCCACAGCCTCCACGAAAATGGCTTCATGGAAGAGCTGGACAAGACGTGGGTGAGGTACCAGGAGTGCGACTCAAGGAGTAATGCCCCGGCCACCCTCACCTTTGAGAACATGGCAGGTGGGTTCCTGGACCTCCCCGTTCCCCCTGGAGCTCCCTACCCTCAGGGATCAGAGAAGAAGGGGCACGAGGGACACCCCCACCACCCCCGGGGGTCATCCAGTCCAACCCAAGGCAAGGCACAAAATGTCCAGTGCTTAGCCCGGTTCTTAAGAATAAGACTATTGAGATGATGGTGATGGGTGATGGTGATGGGTGACGCTGATGGGTGCTTAGCCAGGCTCTTAAGAATAAGACTATTGAGTTGATGGTTATGGTGATGGTGATCATGATGATGATGAGTGCCAAACTTAGATTCACAAAATGTTTAGGCCCATATGTAGTCCGGCTCTTAAGAATCAGAATATTGAGATGGTGGTGGTGATGGGTGATGGTAATGGGTGCTTAGCCAGGCTCTTAAGAATACAGTGGTACCTCGGGTTAAGTACTTAATTCATTCCGGAGGTCCATTCTTAACCTGAAACTGTTCTTAACCTGAAGCACCACTTTAGCTAATGGGGCCTCTTGCTGCCGCTGCACCGCCGGATCACAATTTCTGTTCTCATCCTGAAGCAAAGTTCTTAACCCGAGGTATTATTTCTGCCTTAGCAGAGTCTGTAAGCTGAAGCGTATGTAACTTGAAGCGTATGTAACCCGCGGTACCACTATAAGACTATTGAGATGATAGTGGTGGTGGTGATCATGATAATGATGGTGGTGATGATGATGATGATGATGATGAGTGCCAAACTTAGATTCACAAAATGTTTCGGCCTGTACTTAGCACGGCTCTTAAGAATAAGAATATTGAGATGATGGTGGTGGTGGTGGTGGTGGGTGGATGATGATGATGATGATGAGTGCCAAACTTAGATTCACATTATTATTATTATTATTATTATTATTATATATATTGCTGTTATTGTTACTATTGCCATTTCTAACTACTACTGCTACCACCACCACCACCATTTGCAAGTATCCCTATCGCTATCGCTATCCTTCTTCTTACGATTGTCATTTGTGATTCCTATTCTTATTCCGGATCCCCATCGTTATTACTATCACGACGATTGCCGCCATGATTACAATTCTCACTCTGCTTCCTGGACAACCCTCGACTGTGGTGGCGGTGTGTGCGCGCGCGCTTCTTTCGAACCTGGCTCTCTGACCCTTCTCCCTCCCGCGTTTCGACCCCTCCCAGGTGTCTTCATGCTGGTGGCCGGTGGGATCGTGGCCGGAATCTTCCTGATCTTCATCGAAATCGCCTACAAGAGGCACAAGGACGCCCGACGGAAGCAGATGCAGTTGGCCTTTGCTGCCGTCAACGTCTGGAAGAAAAACCTACAGGTAGGAAGAGGCCATTTTTGGGAGGAGAAGAGACCTCTGGCAGGGGGCAGGTAACTCACAAAACCGCCAGAAAAAACACCAAAACATGTGGGACGTCTTTGAATTTCCATTTTTTAATTTGGAGGTCCTTTTCCATTTCCCATTCCTTCACCCCAACAGTCACTACGGTGCCGAAGGGGAGTAGAATTAGGGGGACGCCCTCTCTGTGGCCCCCACTTATGGGGTGCAGGAACCCCATAAGAGTCGCTCCTTCCAGAAGGGCGGAGAGTTGGTTTGGATGACCCCTGGGGGACCCACTGCCCCACTCATCCTGGGAAGGCCTTTGAGGGCCCCCTACTCTCCTAAATAGGGGGGCAAATGCCCCAATGGAAATAGGGGCATCCTATTTGATCCCCTATAATGAAATAGGGGTGTCCTATTCAATCCCCTACAATGGGAATAGGGACGTCCTATTAAATCCCCTACAATGGGAATAGGGGCATCCTGTCAATCGGGGTCTGTCCATCCCTGCATCCTGCCCCCTCCGCCTCCCAAATGAGGCAGGCTCAAATTTTGTAGGGTATCCTGAGCGCAATTGTCACTGCCATTTTTCACTTGCCAACTTTCTAGAGAGGAGAAACACTTCCCTGGGTTGACGGTGGGTCCGGTCCGGTCCGGGGTTTGGGGGGCTGGCTGAGATATGGGGGGGTCCAGGATTTTTTGGGTGGGGGCCATCGGCCGAGCATGCTCACCCACCCCACCCCACGGCCGACGAGGAAAGCTGACGCTCCGAAGATCCGTTTGACAATGTAAGACTTTTCCGCAGGAGGAACCCTCCGGCCACTAGTACAATGCTAGAAGGTAGGCGAGCGGGAAGATTTCTTTGTTCAATAAATACCAATTAAAAAAAATCAATCAAAATAAAAATCAATTTTAAAAAATCTATGATCAAAAAATGTGTGTGTGTGTGTGTGTGTGTGTGTGTACACACACACACACACACACATGCATAAATACATACATATACATATAAATACACATATACATATATATAATTATATATGTGTGTGTGTATATATATATATAAATATGTATATAATATATAAATAATTTATATATGTCTATTATATATATATATGTGTGTGTGTGTGTGTATAATTAAAAATTAAAAAAATATTTATTTATACATATTATATATATATAATTCATATATGTGTATATAATATATATAAATATTATATATATAACTATATATAATGCATATAATATATATATAATGTATATATGTATATGTATGTGTGTGTGTATATATACACACACGCGGGTGTTTCTTTTCAAATTATTATTTGAAATCATGGGCAGGGTAGAAATAATAAATTATTATTATTATTATTATTATTATTATTATTATTATTATTATTTGATTTTGGTCACCCTTCCGCCATGGCGCAACACCATGGCAAGCCACGCGCTCATACCTCTAGATCAGTATACGTAAATATATATATATATGGGGGGGGGTTCCTCCCTATCTATATATATTTAGATACTGTATGGATCTTCATCCATTCCATCCTATCAATTGATTTTTTCCTGTGCATGCATGGGGGAGCGGGGGCGGGGAAGAGGAACATCGGGAACAGAAGCAGGAAATTGATTCATTTCCGGTCGCCCCCCCAAGCCAGATGTGGAGGGGCCAGACCTGGTCTTTCTCTCCCCCCAAAAATATCCCTAAATCCAAAAGGGGGGTGGTCAGAAATGGGGTTCCCCAAGGGGAGGATACAGAGGCTTCAGATCGGGGGGGGCCTCCCCCCAAAACCCCAAATTCCACTGTAGCCCAAAGGGTTGGGATCAGAAACGGGGTTCCCCTCCCCAAAATGGGGGCCTCCTCCCACCCCCCCAAAACCAGGTCTGGTTGCCTCCCACCCAACCTCCCCCCACGATTCTCTCCCCTCCCCCCTCCTTGACGGCTTTCGTTCCCGCTCCGCATCCCCAACCCTCAGCTCTCCCCTCCCCATTTAACCCCCCCTCTTGGATTCCTGCCCGGGGTCCCTCCGGAAACCAGCCCCCCAGCTTCCGGCAGCTGGTTTCGGGAGTCCTATATACCCTTTTCAATTTCCCCCCAATACTGGTTTTCCTTTCTTTCTTTAATTCTGATTTTTTTTTACCCCCCATTCCCCCCCATTAACATACAATGACCTCCCTTCTCTTCCAACACAGTCTTCTCTCTATCTCCTGTAGGACCTGCCTTGACCAAAGGCCCCAATCCTATTTATTTAGGGGTAGGTGGAAAAAGTCTCTCCCCCCCTCTAGGAGATGGAAGGAAGGGTCTGTCAGTGACCGGCAGGGACCGCCCCCTGGCCCCCAATAGGGTGGGGGGCCCCCCTCTCCAAGCTCCTGAGAGGAGGCCCTCAGAGATGCTGCAGGAACCCAACGATGCTCGTAACCCCGCCCCAGTCCCCCCAACCCAATTCCAGAAAAGGATCCGCCCCACATAAAGGGTCCTCACTTATATTTGCTGTCGGATGTCCTTCCACCCTTTCTGCTGTTCGCCCATGAAATTATGGACGTTCTACCATGAAATTATGGACGTCCTATCACCCTTTCTGACGTTCTTCCCATGAAATTATGGACGTCCTACCATCCCCTCTGACATTATTCCCATGAAATTATAGACGTTCTACCTTGCCCTCTGACGTTCCTCCCATGAAATTATGGACGTCCTACCGTCCCCTTTGATGTTCTTCCCATGAAATTATGGATGTCCTACCATCCCCTCTGACGTTCTTCCCATGAAATTATAGACATTCTACCTTGCCCTCTGACGTTCCTCCCATGAAATTATGGACGTCCTACCACCCTTTCTGACGTTCTTCCCATGAAATTATGGATGTCCTACCACCCCTTCTGATGTTTTTCCCATGAAATTATGGACGTCCTACCACCCTTTCTGACGTTCTTCCCATGAAATTATGGATGTCCTACCACCCCTTCTGATGTTTTTCCCATGAAATTATGGACGTCCTACCACCCCTTCTGACGTTCCTCCCATGCAATTATGGATGTCCTACGACCCTTTCTGACGTTCCTCCCAGGAAATTAAGGACTTCCTACCACACTTTCTGACATTCCTACCATGAAATTATGGACATCATACCATCCTCTGTGACATTCCCACCACCAAATTATGGACGTCCTACCATGACGTTCCTCCTTGGAAAACAGGGTCTTCCTACCACCCCCTCCCACCGATGCTTGGAGTGCTTCCGACCCAAACCACCCCTTCCGAGACCCCCAAAATCGCCCTCTCGGCGGGGACCTGCCCTGTTTGCCCCAGGGATGGGATGGTTTTGAGGGCAACTGTACATCCTCTCTGACATTTCTCTGGGAGTGGGGGAAGAGGAATGTCTTCTCCCACCCCGTCCTGTGTAATTCAGGTACGTCCGTGAAAAGGACAGTGGATCCGCTCAGAGTCTGGGGCGATTCCCAGGACCGGCCCAGCCCAAGATGGCCGCTCGGAGGGTCGGCGCTCGGAGGGGCCCTCCGGAGCCCGGTTGCCCCGTAGGGCAGGAGGAGCACACCAGGCAAGCGAGGCGGCCCAGGAAAGCGAGGCTCAGTGTAGACGCGGTGGCCCGCGGCGGCCGTCCGGAGATCTAACCGCTTATGTACATGTTCATTTTAGGATAGACCAAGTGCTAGAGCAGAACCAGGCCCTAGAATGAAAACCACTTTTAGGTCCATCACATCCACGCTGGCCAACAGCTTCAAGAGCCGTAGGTCCTGCAGAGACACGGTAAGAAGAAGACAACCGGTTGTGCCCTCCTTCTTTCTCTCTCTCCTGCCATCCCATCAACCGCCCCATCTCACAGCCGCCATGGCCCCGTTTCGTCCTCTGTCAGTCTGTCTCCACCGTCTGTCCCAAAGATCAAGGGCTCCCTCTTCTCCCCGTACGTGGTTTGTTTTCCTTTCTGTTCTGACCTCCCGAAAAACCCAGATTTTTCTCCCCCCCCCTTTTGATTTCCAGTCCTTCCCGTCCTGGTCCCTGCCTGGAAAGCAGTCCGCCGTGCCGTTTTCCCCTCGTCCATCCCCTGCCCCACCGTCTCCAGCCGTCTCCCACCTCTGCACTTTCTGTGGGATTCAGGCAAGGGTCATGGCCTCGCCTGGTGCCATGTCTCTCGTCACCTTCTATACCTGTGCTTTCCGTCCGTGGCTTCCTTGGAAACGACGAGGCGGGGGAGGGGCCCTCCGTCGTCAGGCGGATGGCTGAGCTCCATTGCTTAGCCCGCCCCAACGTTTCTCCTGTGGAAACAGGGTGTCTGGTCGTCCTCTCTGACATTGACCCGACAGAACCGGCAACCCAAGTCCCTCCGGGCCAGATCAGGCCATAGCTGTCAACTTTCCCTTTTTCTTGTGAGGAATCCTATTTGGAATAAGGGAATTTCCCTTTTAAAAAGGGAACCATTGACAGCTATGGATCAGGCCCACCCGGGTCCTCAATCCGGGAAGCCGGATCCGTAATTCTCGGCAATACCGATGGGACCAAGAGCGGTGGCGGCTCGGCCGCTCCAACACCACACCTGGTTTGCTCCAGCAGCATTTGATTGGCAGGAACGGCCCCACCCCATGCTAGGATCTGGGCGCAGTGTGGGATTGGTCGAGCCGCTACCTCTCAGTCTCTTTGTCCCATCGTTGTTGCCAATAATCCTGGGTTCTGGCTTCACTACGCCTCTTCCTCCCACCGCCGCTCGGCCTCTTCCACTGCTGCCGCCTGCCACCCTGGTGCCCCTAGGGTAAGGTTCCCAGGCATCCCCGTTTCCCAGGGACCGTCCCCGGATTTACAAATCCTACAAAATCCATGGAGATTGAAAAGTATCCCCGGATTCATGGGGGGAATTCTGGTCACCTTATTCTACGGGCGAGAGGAAGCGAACGAGCTCGCTCTGCCTACTCACGAGAAGCGGTGGTGGCAGTGGCAGCAGCCCCTGGGAAGCTGGGGCTGGGGGGTGGAGAGGAGGACAATTTGACCCCCTCACCTCTTCTTCCAGCTCCACCCCCTGGTTCTGCTTCTCCAGCCCGCCACAAGGTCTGTGGTACAGTAGACCGGCCGGCTGCTAGAAAAAATTGCCAACCCCTGTCCTGTTCCATACCTGCCGACATTTCTCCCATGAAAATATGGACGTCGTATTTGGTACCTCCCAACATTTCTCCCATGAAAATACAGACTTCTTACGATCCCCTCTGACATTTCCCCCATGAAAATATGGACGTCCTCTTCCATACCTGCCAACATTTCTCCCATGAAAATAGGAATGTCCTTAGGAAAAGCGGGATCAACCCCGGATCAAACCGGAAACTGCCATGGCTTCTTCAGATCTTGGGCTGTCCCTGCAAAATAGGGACCCTGGGATATCTGTTAGGATCCCTCATCCCAATCTGTTGATAGGCTGGGAAAGAGGCCAAGGCGGGACAACCCGAACTTCCACAATCTGCAGACTTTCTGCTGTTTTCCTATGTGCAGGCAGTTCCCCAGTCAGATGAGTGGGGTATTATTATTATTAATTTATGTTATGGCTCTTTGGCAACAATAATTGTGGGGGTGGGGGTGGTGATGATAATATAATATACTAATATAATATAATATAATATAATATAATATCATCATCATTATCATTATTATCACCAGGTAGGCAGCTGTGTTGGTTTGATACAGCAGAAATAAAATAATAAATAATAATACTACTACTTATTATTATTATTATTATTATTATTATTATTATTATTATTATTATTGGAAATTAATATATTTCACAAAACTTCTCCCATGATTTCTCAAACTTATTCCAAAGGGTGTTGGGCTACAATTTCCTCTGAACATCCTCCTGTATCAATGTGAAGATTGCTGTCACTCTCTCGGATCAGCCCCAAATATTCCTCATTGTTTCCACTCAGGATTTCCTCTGAAAATTCTCCTGTATCAATGCTAAGATCACTGTCATTTTCTTGGAGACCAGCCCTGAATATTCCTCACTGCTTCTCCTCCGAATTTCCTCATCAAGTCATCCCATATCAGTGCCAAGATCACCGTCACAGCCCCCCCCAAATACAACATTAAAATACCCTTGAATTTTAAGGATGTTTAAATGAGTATTCAAGATTGTAAAACAGAATATTTTTTTTGAAAAAAAATATATTTAAAAAGACACACATATCAAAACCAGTAAAAATAATTCTAATAAAAACATAATAATAATAATAATAATAATAATAATAATAATAATAATAATAATAATAATTTATTTATACCCCGCCCTCCCCGGCCAGGGCCAGACTCAGGGCGGTTAACACCAAATATAAATTACAATAAAACATAATAGGAAAAACCCAAGAACAGTTAATTAAAATACAGCTTAAAATGCAGCCTCATTTTAGTAGTAGCTCATAAATCAAGCCCATAAAGAGAAGAAACATCAGAACGATTATTAATTATTATTATTATTATTATTATTATTATTATTACTACTACTACTACTACTACTATTACTATTATTACTATTATTACTATTATTTTATTTTATTATTAATTACTATTAGCAGTAGTAGTAGTAGCCTATAAAAAGGTAAAGGGACCCCTGACCATTAGGTCCAGTCGTGACTGACTCTGGGGTTGCGGCGCTCATCTCGCTTTATTGGCCGAGGGAGCCGGCGTACAGCTTCCACGTCATGTGGCCAGCATGACTAAACCGCTTCTGGCGAACCAGAGCAGTGCATGGAAACACCGTTTACCTTCCCGCCGGAGCGGTACCTACAGGTGAAACTCAAAAAATTAGAATATTGTGGAAAAGTTCATTTATTTCAGTAATTCAACTTAAAATGTGAAACTAATATATGAGATAGACTCATGACATGCAAAGCGAGGTATGTCAAGCCTTTATTTTTTATAATTGATGAAAACCCCAAATTAACAATCTAAGAAAATTAGAATATTAAATGAAATCAGCAAAACAAGGACTGCAAATAGAGCAATATTGCACCTCTGAGAAGTAGAAGCATGCATATGTACTCAGTACTTGGTTTGGGCCCCTCAGGAGTCTCAAGGCGGCTAACATTCTCCTTTCCCTTCCTCCCCCACAACAAACACTCTGTGAGGTTAGTGGGGCTGAGAGACTTCAAAGAAGTGTGACTAGCCCAAGGTCACCCAGCAGTTGCATGTGGAGGAGCAGGGAAGCGAACCCGGTTCCCCAGATTACGAGACTACTGCTCTTAACCACTACACCACACTGGCTATAGTAACCTATAGTAGCCCATAAATCAAGACCATAAAGGGAGGAAACAGAATTAAAAAGCAGTTTAACAGCATGTCAATCCATTCTCATCCCTTTTTATTTATTTTTAATCCATTTCCCAATTTTTTGTCCATTTCCCACGGCAGGTTCTTCCTTGTTGGATGTCCCAAGCCATCACTCCGCGGCATTCCGGCTCCACCTCATTTTGCTGAATTTATTCCTCCCTCCCATCCATTCCCTCATTCCGCTGAATATTCATCCATTCCTTCCTTCCGCCCATCCATTCCCTTGTTCTGCTGAATAAAGGTAAAGGTAAAGATACCCCTGCCCGTACGGGCCAGTCTTGCCAGACTCTGGGGTTGTGCGCCCATCTCACTCAAGAGGCCGGGGGCCAGCGCTGTCCGGAGACACTTCCGGGTCACGTGGCCAGTGTGACATCGCTGCTCTGGCGAGCCAGAGCCGCACATGGAAACGCCATTTACCTTCCCGCTAGTAAGCGGTCCCTATTTATCTACTTGCACCCGGGGGTGCTTTCGAACTGCTAGGTTGGCAGTTCTGCTGAATATCCATCCCTTTATTCCTTCCTCTGAATATCCATCCACTTACTCCTTCCTCTGAATATCCATCCATCCATCCATTCCTCCCTCCCATGTCTAATCAACATTTGCAGAATTCCAGCTATTTTCAAGGAGCAGATTACACCAAAGCAATCTGTCAAAATTATTAAATCAGGATTCTGATCCACATTTGCAGGATTCCGGCTGTTTCCAGGGAGCCAATTGCAGCAAAGCAACCCGTCCAAATCATTCCACCAAATTTGATTTAATTCCCAGATATTTTTCTCATTGCGCATCATCCTTTCCGGCACAGTCGCCACATGGGCAGGAAAGTTCCCTCTCCAACCCCCGGCCCGTTTTGGAGACCCTCTATTATGCATGTTTCTGAGTTGGTGGGGCATCAGGTTCGACCTCATCCCCCCCTTTGCCGCCTTTCCAAAGGTCCCAGATATCGAAAGTTCCACCTGGGGCAAAAGCCAACTTCTCAGCCATCTTGAAATTCTGATTTTTTCCTCTCTTTCTCTCCCCATCAAAAGGACATCTGTCACAATATATTGGGAGGGTGGCATTCCAGAAGCGGAAAGGTCTCAGCCAGAAAAGATGGCTTCCCGCCTTCGCAAACTCCCCCTGCATGATTCTCCATTTATTCCTCCCGTTTGAAACCGCAGGGATGTATAAAAAAATGTCTGTCCCTCAGCGGTGGGCATTTGCATAGCCTCCGACATTTCTCTGATGGAAATAGGGAAGTCCTAGTCCATCCCTTCCAACATTTCTCCGATGAAAATAGGGATGTCCCAGGAACAGCGGAACCTTCCAGGATCCCGGCGGAAACCGGGCTGGATTCTTCTATCCCGGGAGAGAGAGGGGTGCTTGGAGGGTCTGCTTCCTCGGGTGGCTTTCCCTTCTAGGCATTCCAGCATGGAGGGCGGAGGGAGGATGAGGAGGAGGAGAAACGCAGCTCCGGGTTGGCCGGGCTGGCCGGGCGGAGTCCCGCTTTCCTGGGGTGGTGGTTTCAGCGGTGTCCCTGGATTCGAAGCCGGCTTTTGGTGTAATAGACCATCCCTTTGATGCGCCTGCTCCCTACAGACACCCCCGCGAGGCCGCCACACCCAGAGTCCGTGAGCTGCAGATAAAGCCCTGTAGAGAATTCCCGGCTTCAGGAGTTCCTCCGCAAAGGGTGGGATCTTGTTGTGAATGTTGATGCATTTTTGTCCTGTATCCAAAGTCCTGTTTGATCTTGTGGGACGGGTGGTGGTGCAGGTGGGGGGAACAACTGGTCGTCCCCTTCCGGGACATCCCAGAAAAGGGCCGGGCGGGAGAGGAGTAGGGCGGCCATCTTGGAAAAAGTGGCTCCTTTGCGAGCCGAGTTGCTGAGCTTTTTCCCGGAGGGAGTTTCTCGGCGACCACGAAGGGAGAGTCGTTGGCAGATTTCGAAGGGGATCGACCCTAAATTGTCAAGGGGTCAAAGCTGCCGGGTGGTTCCAAAGGGGATTGGCCTGAAATGGCTGAGCTAGCGGGTGCTGCTTTCCGGGGGAAGGGGCTGCGCTGCGTGGGGGAGGGGGCCCCTGCCCCATGTGGCTGCCCCCCCGGGGGAGATCCCTGAGGGACGATGCGCTCCAACCGGGAAGGAGCTGAGCCGAATGGAAACGGGGGGGGACACGACGTCACAGGTCAGGGTTCCAAAATTTGTAGGGTGGCAGTATGTCAGGGTCCCTAAAATGGGAAGGGTGGCCCTACATTTGGCTCCGCCCACATTGTGGCACCCTGACTTTTTTTGTGGGAAGAGAGCGGATCTCCGGAGATTCCCCGCTTGGCGCTCACAGCCTTGAAAGCATCCCAGTTCGGAGGCACAAAATCTTCCCTGAGCGGTTTCCTGCTGGGGCGGCGGCGGCCTGCAGGGGTGGCGTGTGTCTCAGCTGCGCTCTGGCCCGCCTCTGCCTGACCGCCGGCCCTCCTGTTTCTTGTCTTTTGTCTCCTCCTCTGCAGCAGTACCACCCCACTGACCTTGCGGGGCAGCTCAACCTCTCGGACCCCTCGGTCAGCACCGTGGTGTGAGGACCGCCAGCTTGGGAAGGGGCAGCCGAGATGCCCGAGGGGAGACTTGGGGGCCCCACCCCACCCCGTCACTTCTTTCCTGCCCACCCCCTCTCAGACTCCCCCAGGGGCCTCAGAATGGACCGGCTCTTTATCTTCTTCTCCCATGGACCTCCCTTGGGGACCGGCGCTGAGGAAGTGGCCCCGCCCACATGCCACAGACGGACAGAGACTGAGCTCTGGTGTGCCTTTGGTGCCCACTTCCCGTTTCCTTGCGCCCCTTCAAAGGACACCCTCCCAGGAAAGCCTGGCTTGCCCGCTTTCTCAAGAGAGGAGGCAGCTGGGCGCAACTGGGAGAATCCCGTCCGTGTACAGTGCTCCGCTTCCGGTTGTCCACGTTGGGGCTTGCTCGATTTGGGGGGCTCACTGACTGACCATCCTGTCCATGTACATAATCTGCTTCTCTTCCTTTTGTCCACTTTGGGGATCACTCAATTTTTTGGGGAGGGGCGACTTCCTTCCTTCCTTCCTTCCTTCCTTCCTTCCTTCCTTCCTTCCTTCCTTCTTTCCGTCCTTCCGTCCATCCTTCCTTTTTTCCTTCCTTCCTTCCTTTCCAAGACTTCCCAACCGCCTCTTCCCTGCTTCCTTTCATTTCCCCAACATTCCTGCCTATTCCCATGGATCCATTGAGCTGACTTCCTCCCTTCTTAGAGATCCATTCGGGTCTCTTAGAGATCCACTCCTCCCCTGATCTTCCCTTTATTGTACATTATGTTGTCAGAAACCCAGGGTAGCAGGGTATAAATAAGTTGTTGTTATTATTATTGATATTATTATTATTGATTTTATTGATATTATTATTATTGATTTTATTAATATTCTTGTTGTTGATATTATGATTGATGTTGTTGTTGTTTACTTGAATCCTGCTAGCATTTTCACTCGTCTGAAATCATTTCTCACATATTTACCTAACATCTGGAATTGCACACTGGAATTTGGGCATCTCCTCCCAAGGATTCTGTGGATTTTATTTATTATTATTATTAAAATAAAATGTAAATAAAAGTTTTATTATTATTATTATTATTATTATTATTATTATTATTATTGTTGTTGTTGTTGTTGTTGTTGTTGTTGTTAAATGTAAAGAACCACAGAAAGATGGGGAAAGAAGTAGATAATTAGATGAATTTAAATTGAATTTCTAATATCTTCTGCCTATCCAAATTCCTGCTCAAACCTGCTCATCCAATCATCTCCTGTAAACATAACAATAATTACAATAATCCTGTATCAGCGGGATTTTTCAACCGGATCTCCAGTTGAAATTGTGGGGGGTTGGGGGTTGGGGGGTTATTATACACACACACACACACACACACACACACACACACGTATTAATATATAATTATAATATATAATTGTGGGTTTTTTGAGGGGTTATTATAATACTATCATATATTATATATTATAATATATCATTATAATATATAACTGTGGGTTTTTTGGGGGGGTTATTCAAGGGAAATCTGAAAATCAGCTAGGATGTGTGCGTATTTGGGGGGGGTCTGCTGCCCATAATTGGGAGCACGGGATGGAAGAGCTGGAAAGGGGAGCCTGGGTCATGTAGTCTGACCCACCGCAAGGGAGCAATCTCGCATCTGGAACCCAGGACCGAGGGCCGTCCGAACCTCCCAGGAAGAAGGGAAGAAGGGGAGAAATTATCAGTATAAATAATAAATAATTATCATCATCATCATTTTTTATTTGTATACCGTCTTTCTACCTTACAAGACCCAAGGCGGTTTGCAAGCTGGAGAAACAAAAAATGTGCACCTGATAATCGGATGCAATAGAAAAATGTGATAATAAAATAAAACTTTAAAATAAGCAAGCAACATCCAATAAAGGAACGTTCAAGCATTATTAGACTAGTCCAAGAGAATAAGATCAATGTACAAAAGTTCAAGAGAAATCCATATAACATATAAAAGTTATATATCCATATAAACATATAAAAGTTCAAGAGAAATAATTTCTATACTACAATCAATAAAACAATGGCAAGCCACAGTGCATAAAATTATACAAATTTTACAAATACAAATTGAGAAGCAGATACTAGCAGCTGTGGGTCCCCAGATGTTGTTGGACTGCAACTCCCATCATCCCTTGCTAACAGGGCCAGTGGTGAGGGATGATGGGAGTTGTAGTCTAACCACATTAATAAAATACCTGAACACACTCTCTCTCTCTCTCTCTGAAATGCCATATATGAGCCTTTCTCCACCTGTGGGTTCCCAGATGTTGCTGGACTACAACTCCCATCATCCCTAGCTAACAAGGCCAGAGCTCAGGGATGATGGGAGTTGTAGTCCAACCAAATTAATAAAATACGTGTGTGTGTGTGTGTGTGTGTGTGTGTGTGTATGCGCAATGCCATATATCAGCCGTTCACAACCTGTGGGTCCCCAGATGATGTTGGACTACAACTCCCATCACCCCTAGCTAGCAAGGCCAACTGAAGAATATTGGGGGGCACATTTTATAAAGATTTGGGGGGTCCCGAATCTTGTGCGGGGAGCTTTGGGATTCTGCAGCCCCCCTGCTTTGTATTGGGGGGCACATTCTATAAATATTTGTGGGGGGCGAATCTCTTGAGCGGGGAGGTTTGGCTTTCCTCCACCCCTGCTTTGTATTTGGGGGGGGCACAACCTAGGAAGATGGATGGGGGGTGAATCTCTTGACCTTTGGGTTTCCGCAGCCCCCCTGCTTTGTATATTGTGGGGGCACATTCTAGGAAGATTGACGGGGTGGGGGAATCTCTTGAGCGACCCCCCCTGCTTTGTATATTGGGGGCGGCGGCCAATCTCTTGATTTCCTCTCCCCCCCCGCAATTTCTCCAGCCCCCCACCCTGCTTTTATCTCTCCCTCCCCCCCATCCCAAGTCCTGCCTCCCACCAAATGCTGCCGCATTGGTGGGCCTCCTCCTCCTCCTGTCTTTGCAGGGGGGGTTTGGTGCCCCCCCGGGTTTTTTGCAAGGAGATCCGGCGGCTGTTTGCAAGAGGGGGCATTCAGCACGAGGGACAGCTGCCTTTTTTTGCAGGGGGGCAATTCAGCACCAGGGACAGCAGCGTTTTTTATGCCGGGGGGGGGGGCAATTCAGCACCAGGGACGGTGACGTTGTTGCGCGGGGAGGGGGGGAATTCAGCAACAGGGACAGCGGCCGCCTCTGGTCCTTCCGCAGGGCCGGTTGAGGACCATGGATAGACCCTCTTGCGTGGCAGTTCTCCGCCACCTGGGGGGCCCTTGGGCTGCGCCGGGCGACGGTGGGGTGACCGCCATGCGCCTCCTGCTGCTGGCCGTGCTGCTGTGCTTCTCGGTGGCGCGGGGGGGCTGCGAGCCCAAGGTGGTGAACATTGGGCGGTGCTGAGCACCAAGAGGCACGAGCAGGTCTTCCGCGAGGCCATCAACCAGGCCAACAAGCGCCATGGCACCTGGAAGATCCAGCTCAACGCCACCTCCGTCACCCACAAGCCCAACGCCATCCAGATGGCCCTCTCCGTCTGCGAGGACCTCATCTCCAGCCAGGTAGCCGGGGGACCCCCCTTCCAGTCCTCAAGAATTAGGCTAGGCACTAGGGACTCCCTTCAGTCCTAAAGAATTAGCCTGTGGTCTCCTCGAATTGATGGACCAAGCTCTTGACCTGATGGACTTGTTGGCCCTAGAAAAGATCACCCAGGGACCCCTGGATCCTGTGGGCTGTGGGCACTAACCTGGGGCCGCCTTGGCTCTAGAGACCAACCTAGGGACCCCCTTCCCGTCCTAAAGAATTAGCCTGGGGTCTCCTCGACCTGATGGACCAGCCTCTTGACCTGATGGACTGGTTGGCCCTGGAAAGGACCGCCAAGGGTCCCCTGGATCCTGTGGACTTGGGGCACCAACCTAGGGACCTGCGGGCCGCAGAGACCGACCTCGAGACCCTACCGCCCTAAGGACCAGCCTAGGGACCCCATGGCCCTACGAAGGACCGGCCAAGGACCCCTAGACCCTACTAAGTAGTGCCCAGCGACCCTATGGGTCAGGCTCTTTGCTTGGGGGGGCAGCCTAGGGACCCTTGGCCCTAGGGACCAAGCTCAAGACCCTAGTGCCCTAAGGACCGGCCTACACACCCCATGGCCCTACTAAGGACTGGCCAAGGACCTCATCACCCTATGGACCAGCCTCTCAGCTTGCGGCACCACCCTAGGGCCCCCTTGGCCCTAGAGACCAACCTGGGGACCCCCTTCAGTCCTAAAGAATTAGCCTGGGGTCTCCTCAACCTGATGGAAGAAGCTCTTGGCATGGGGCACTAGCCCAGGGACCCCTTGGCTTTTAGCAACCAACCTAGTGGACCTTCAGTCCTAAGAGACTAGCCAAAGCACCCCTTGGCCCTACTAAGGAGCACCCAGTGACCCTATGCGTCAGGCTCCTGGCTTGGGGGGGGGCAGTCTGCAATGAATTGAAAACAGGTCATCAATAGATGACTGCAGTCATCTCAAAAACCAGGGATAGGGAACTGTGACCATCCAGATGTTTTTGGAGTAACACCAGATAGCCAGCATGGCTAATAGCCAGGGATGGTGGAAGTTTCAGTCCAACATCTGGAGGGCCACAGGTTAGCTGCCCCTGATGCAAATTCATCCTTCTAGAAGGCAGTTTGTGGCGTCTGATGTAATGTCTTAAGTAACATTTGAACCATTTTTACTGCAAGCAGAACAAAAATAGTTGCAAGTTTGATTAAAATATTGATTGAGAAAAAGTCTTGCTGTGTCGTGCTAGAAGATTTTAAGTGAGGATTGCTTGTAGGATATCAGTAAATGTTAAAATGCTATGGAGAAACAGGTGGTAGATGGCTTTAGGGGAATCAGTTGATTTTCATTATTAGTGCATTGGCCATATGCTTATTTGGTTTTGTAAAATACTTAAAAGTCAAATAGTAACATTTGCTACTACTACTATTACATTTTCTATTGCAACATTATACTGTGCATCAGTGGGTTTAAACCTTTTTGAGTCCAGGCTTCCTTGCGGCTTCCCTCTGGGGTGTAAGTGTCCTTTGGGAGGTGTTGGACTCTCCTTCCTTGGAGGATTTTAAGCAGAGGTTGGGTGGCCATCTGTCATGGATGCTTTAGCTGAGATTCCTCCATTGCAGGGTCCCTTCCAACTCTAAGATTCTATGGCTCTAAGTCTGCATGCGAGTCCTGTGCTATGTGCTTCTCGCTTCCCTTCCCCGCAATAATATATTTCTGCTTCTGATCTTAATCTTGTTTTGCTCTCTCCACTCCCCGCTATGTGCACCCTAATTTCAGGAAAGGCAGGCTGGGGCTCCCATGTGGAGTGTGCTAGCTCAGCCCTACAGGGCAGTGGTGTTGCTTGGGTTCCCGTCGACACACACGAGCCAAAAATGGTACTGGAAAGGGCGGAGCAGAATGGGGAAATCCCCACTTACATATGTAATGACAGGGAACCCCAGTGTTAAGTGGGGAGCCACAGAAAAAATGTGGTTGGTCAATCTAATGGTTGTGAGGGGTTACTTGTGCGTAAATGGCCTTAGATGTAGTTAGTTTGCTTGCCCAACCATGCTTAGGGTCGGAGCTCGCCCTCCGTGACCTGTTAGTCACTTGCAGAATCCGTCAGTGGGCGTTTCTTGAACCTCTTCCAGCATAAAAGCTGTTTGACCCCGAGTCTCCTCCTATGTTCCCTGCGCGGAACGCGTCTGCGCAAGTAAGGGGAAGGCAGGGGCGTGCCAGCGCTCTCTCCACTAGTTTCGGGTGAAGGGTCTTGGAGCCCTGTCACCAATTCCTCAATCTCCCTCTCTTCTCTATTGGTGTTACCCTGAATTCCTTCCCCCCTGCTGGTCCCCTCTCCGGCATCGCTTGGGAGCCCTGCCTCCGCTTCTCGCTCTGATGTCAGTTCCCTGACATCCACCTCCCTCCCAGGACCCCCTCCACCCCCGGCCTGACCCTGTGACGG